GACGGACGGGACGGAGGACGGACGACGGACGGACGGACGGACGACGGACGGACGGACGGACGGACGGACGGACGGACGGACGGACGGACGGACGGACGGACGACGGACGGACGGACGGACGGACGGACGGACGACGGACGGACGGACGACGGACGGACGGACGGACGGACGGACGGACGGACGACGGACGGACGGACGGACGGACGGACGGACGGACGGACGGACGGACGGACGGACGGACGGACGGACGGACGGACGGACGGACGGAGACGGACGGACGGACGGACGGACGGAGGACGGACGGAGGACGGACGGACGGACGGACGGACGGAGGACGGACGGACGGACGGACGGCCGGACGGACGGACGACGGACGGAACGGACGGACGGACTGACGGACGGACGGACGGACTGACGGACGGACGGAACGGACGACGGACGGACGGACGGAGACGGACTGACGGACGGACGACGTACCGGACGGACGGACGGACGGACGGACGGACGGAGCTGACGGACGGACTGACGTACGGACGGACGACGGACGGACGGACGGACGGACTGACGGACGGACGGACGGAACCTGGACGGACGGACTGACGGACGGACGACGGACGGGACGGACGGACGGACGGACGTACTGACGGACTGACTGGACTTACGTGACGGACGGACGGTACGTGACGTACGGACGGACTGTACGTGACTTACTACTTACGGACTTACTTACGTACTTACTACTGACTTACTTAATACTTAGGACTGTACTGTACGTAACTTACTTACTTTACGACTTACTTACTTACTTACTTACTTACTACTTACTTACTTACTTACTTACTTACTTACTACTTACTTACTTACTTACTTACTTACTTACTTACTTACTTACGAACTAACTAACTAACTAACTAACTGACTGACTAACTAACTAAGATGACAGATCTTTTTCCATTACTTTTAAAGGTGACCAGGTTTATACTTATTTAAACACAATCGAAAGACTAAAGTATTTCAGGGCTATTTTCGGGACAAATATTCATGTCTACAGACTAGTATATAAAATTTGTCTATTCAGCCCATTTGTACAGTCTATTGAAAAGTTCATAGTACTACCTATGGAAAATTATACAGGTGACTGCGATTTAGCAGCTGATTCTTGTTTTTACTTTTGTATAGAGTATGCTTCCTGTCAAAAGTTCTTATTGTTTACATTTTATGACTGTTAATGGTTTAAATTTAATGTGACAGTTTTGATAGTAGGCCTATTCTAGTACAAGAACAAAATACATGTTGTTTATATATTGTTATAGTGATGCAAAATTGTTCTCTAAGTTCTCACATGGCGTGGCATCTGCGATATTAGTCAAATATAAACAATTGTATATCTTAGAAATTATAACAGTTAGAGTCCTTAAATTTTTCTCGGTAAACTTTGACAACCGTATAAAAATTTTAAGAAAAATATCGTCAGGTCAAAGACCCAAAAATTATTAAATTCTAAGACGATTTAGCCACGTATGTATGTCTGTCCGTCCGTCTGTCTCTCTGTTGAAAACACGATAGAGTCCGAACGGAATGAGCTAGAGGATTGAAATTTTCCACAAATACTCTCTATAGTTAAGGTTTTTGAAAATGGGTAATAACGGTCCACGTTTTCGGATAGCCCCTATACAAGTGGATCCCCGAAAAACAGCTTTAACCGGCATATCTGTTTTAAAAGTAAGAGTATAGCGATGAAATTCGACATAAATAAGTTTCATATGATACAGAATTTTCCTACAAAATTTTCTGAGGGTCGGTCCATAATTGACCCTACCCCCCTATATAAGGTCCCATTCAGAAAATTACTTTAACGCTCATTACTGGCTTGAAAATACGGGTATAGTGATGAAATTCGACACACGCATAAGTTTCAATGAAGCCAAAATCTCTCTATCAAGTTTTATGTGGATTGGTCCATAGTTGACCCTAGCCCCCCATATAAGTTTCCCTTCAAAAAAATGAGTTTAACGCTCATTACTGGCTTAAAAATACTAGTATAATATAATGGTAGTTCGAGGCTGTTCGATCGAACTGCTGGGTTATTAATCTCTTATTTTGTCATATTTCAAAGAACTTTTCCCATGGGAGATGTGAGTGTCATAATTATTATTGAAATAATTTCCATAATACCAACAATATTTTTCGAGTGTATTTTGCTGAACAAGTAGATACAATCCAATTGAAACTCTTTTTCTTCTTTAATAAAGAAATACGTTTACAACTAAAAAGATCATTTCAAATGAAAACAACTAATGAAATCCACAAGATGCTGTTGATCATGACAAGAGAGAGAGAGTTCTCTTTGAGATTCATGAACATAATTATTATACCCTACACCACTTTAGTGGGGAGGGTATATTGGGTTTGTGCTCATGTTTGTAACGCACAATATTATTGATCCTATACCCACCTTAAAGTATACCAATCGGCTTAGAATTATTTTCTTAGTCGATTTAGCTATGTCCATCCGTCCATGTAAATCTTGTAATCAAACTACAGGTCGCAATTTTGAAGATAATTCAATGAAACTTGTTACATGATCTTCTACTGTCCCAGGGACGAATGGGAAAATGGTTACGATCGGTCCATTATTTCACCTAGCCCCCATACAACTGAACCCCTGAATAGGGCTTGTAAACCTTGTAATCAAACTGCAGGTCGCAATTTTGAAGATAATTCAATGAAATTTGGCACACGATCTTCTATGGTACCAGAGTCTATTGAAAATGGTTAACATCGGTCCATTATCTCACCTAGTCCCCATACAACTGAACCCTCCGAATGAGGCTTGTAAATCTTGTAATCAAATAGGTGGCTATTTTGAAGATAATTCAATGAAATTTGGCACACGATCTTCTATGGTACCGAACACGAAGCCTGTTGAAAATGGTTAACATTGGTCCATTATTTCACCTAGCCCCCATACAACTGAACCGGACTAATAGGGCTTTTAAGTTCATAATTATGTTTAATATACCAAGTTCTATACTAGCCTTGATGACCCTCATGAATTTTTTAATTATAGGGTCTCATTTGACCATAGCCCCTATTCAAAGCCCCCTTCAAAAATCGACTTAAATGAAAACAATTTTATTCAACAATAAATGGCTTAAGTATATCTGAGGCAAGGTACAATTCAACTTAAATGCTTTATTTTATAAACTAAATCACATTTTTTTTGTAACAGGTGTAGGCTATTATATGGTCGGCCTCGCCCGACTATAATTTCTTACTTGTTTTTATTGTTTTGTTTACACCATTAGCATTTGTATGTACAAGATCGTATGGATTTTCACTCATTGTATAAAAGGAGCGTGAGCTAAAGTGAGCAATCGAGGGTGAGCGAAATAATTAATAACAAAACAATCAGCTGTTTTTTAACACTCATACGCTATTATTAAACCGATAGTGTGTGAGAGTGAGTATTGAATTTAAGCGGAATGGGTAATGAGTATCAAATGGGTTGTTGTCGGGGTTACATACACATCTTCTTATTAAAGAATAAATATTAAGTTTGTTAGCGAGTATGTTTAAAAGTGTAGATATTCGTTTTATGTTTATTTTGCGTTCCACTTGAAAACAAAAAATAAAAAAACAACACACACACAAAACAACTGCAACAATAACATAAAAGAATAAAGGAAAACAACAAAAGTCGCCGTTTTTTATTCAGACGAATCGAGTAGTTGTAAGCCTAACTAAAAACTCAATTTCAGTAATCAAACAAACGCGAGCGAAGCGAAGCGAAGTGGTTGGCCAACTGAATTAACTCTGTGTGTGTTGTTGACTTTAAATTAATTCTTGTTAGCCAATTATCAATATTATTTTATATTTTTAACAAAAAATAATTTTATTACGATTTTGAATTTCAGTTCGTTACATTTTATTTGTGCTAATCGCGCTTACAAGTGAATTTCTTTTGCATTTTCGTTGTTATTATGTTAAAAGTAATTGGCATAAACGTATCTAAATAAATTTCCTACATATACAATTGGAATACGCGTGGCTGAACTAAACTATAGTTGTGCTAATACAATAATAGTATTTACTATTTGGTTGTCTCTGTTAAATTGTTGTTGTCATTGTGCGTGCCACAGAGTCAAATAGTGTTCAACATTTGGCGTTGAAATTTTGTTTAAAAGAAAACAACTAAAGAGGGTGTGTTTTCTTTCTTTTTCGTGTGTTTTTAATATTTTGCCTTAAAATCGTTTTTAATGTTATTAAAAAAAAGTTAATAAATTAAATAAAATTTACAAAAAATCTTAATTAAATTATAAAATAATCTTCGAAAATCTAAGAAAAGTGTATTTGAGTGAAATCCTTTGTTGTGTTTTGTTTTTCCTGATTTTGAATATGTTTAAAAGATGGCGCATGTGCATTACTGCTAAATGAAAATCTAGAAAATCATTTCAATGAATGTTAAGTGTTTCAATAACGTCTAAGAAAAATAACAATAATAAAGTGCATTTTCCAAATATATACATAAATCACTTTAATTAAAAAAAAAATATAAAAAATTATTATAAGAATAAAATCAGAATAAGAAAAAAATATAAAATCATTTAAAATCCCATTTATAATCTATTCTTTGTATGTAAGAAAAAAATTCTTTGTTTATAATAAAAAAAAGAAAAATTAAATAAATAAAATATAAAAAAACAACGCATTTAAATTTCCCAACAACCGACCACCTCAAAGTGTGTTTATACATATATCTTTCCTCTACTATTTCTGTGTTCTACAAATAAATTCAAGTAGAAAATTATCTAAATTTTTAATTAAAATCAAATAGCAAAAAATTAGTGAAAATGTCTTTAAAAGTTTTAAAATCATTTATTCTATTATTGTTACTGCAACAAATTGTATTTGTCAAATCAAATGAAAATTCACCAATGAAATCTTACAATCTTCGCAAATCATCTAGATTAGAATCAGCTGTTTCGGACGATTCAGTGGTAAGTAAATAAAACATAAATTCTTATATTTAGATTTTTAAAACTTCCCTCTCTGCCGTTATTAGAAAGTGTATCATAATCTCTTTTGGCAGTCTACAAAACAGTGTTGTTAATGTTGTGCTTATTAAACCGCTGACATTTGTTTTGTTTAGAACAAATTCTAAGTTTATAAGCATAACACAAAGACCATAGAAATTATATATAACATGTATTCCCCTTAAAATATCTTGCCGTGTAGTTCCACTTTCTATAACTATCGCGTTTTAATTACTTTGAGTAAAGTGGATTTTGACACTTATGCCCGTTTACACACAATATTTATAGTAAATTTTCTTGTTTCTGTGGAAGAACATTTTCTTTAAATCGTTTCCGATTGAAACGAAGATAATAGCTTTAAATATTAAACATAAGCGATGAAGCCATATTCCACCTTGTTTATCCATTTAAGCTCCTATAATGTTTTCTTTAAAATCAACTTATATGGAATTTTTGGTCCAGTATATGTGCTTTGTATATGAGCTATCTAATCTCTTACCATTGCTGTCCCGTTGTTTAACTTCTGAGATGCACAAATATCATTTCCGTTTACAACCACGCTGATGGGATGGCCTCTGTTGAGTCGGCAACAGCACCTATAGACGTAACCGGTCGACCAAATTACGAATCCATCAAATAAGCCGAGACTGGCCACCCGTAGTACCAGCTTATGTGGTTCTCTGGTTCGACCCGATGTCAAATCATTCCATGGAAAGTTCGAGGAGTGAACCACATAACATAAAAACCATAATTTAAATTAATCTGCAAATTTGATCCACATGACGTTGAATTACTTGAAGATAATGTATATAACTGAAATAAAACAAATAAGACTGATAAATCTTCTATAACCACCATCAAAACATGTGTCATAGATTTAGAGTGAATTTCGAAAGTTGGAGCTACATATAAATTCATCATTTAAAGAAGATTTGGGTCAGTGATCAAGTTTTTCAGCATTCAAAAGAGTGATAAATATTTAAAAGCAAATAATTTTTGTCGAAATTTATTATAATACTAAAAATGTTTAACGAGTTATTAAGATGTTAAAATGTAGACATCAAATAGAGGATAGGAATCCTTAGTTACATAGTCATAGGGGCTTAGTTCCACAATGACACACTTTTGTATTATAAAATCGAGATTAGAACATGTCTAACTTATGCTTTGGATAGTGGACTTATTTTGACAAAAAGTTAAATAAAAAACTTTTACAGTTATTTGAGCTTATAGCACATGAGGCCGCCAAGGTTTTGGAAACGTTGCTCAATATTCTCCCTATTGAATTAAATATAAGATATAAGGCGATACTTACAGACGAACCAAATTGACCAAAATCAGTTACAGGATAATTCATCAATGTATATTGGACCCTTTTAAATTTTGTACGCAAATCAAACGTAACCGATTGCACCAGATTCAGAATTTGTATGGAACTTTGAATTTGTATCTAGATGGAGAGAATATCATGGTCAAGAGGAACATTAAAACAAATACCATTTGTAATCGATTATTACATAGATGCCTCTGAACTGGGGGTAAAAGGGGCCTGGGGTTCGTCTTAAAAACTCAGAAACAGAAGTATACTACCGTCTACGTAATGACAATACTATCTATCAGGCAAAAGTCCGTGCAAAACCGGATGTATAAACTGGAGTAAACTGCTTTGAACTGTAAAAGAGCCTTAATGGAATTCTATTTTAGTGGTAAGATTTTCACCATTTGGTTACCAGGTCATTAGGTATAATCGATAACGAAAAGTGAATGTACTTTATATAAAGAGAACTTATGATTAAGCGGAACATTAGAGCAAATGCCCGTTGTAATCCATGATGCCTTTAAACTGGGGTTAAAACGGGACTGGGGTTCGATATTGAAAACCCAAAAACAGAAGTATACTAACGTCGACGTAATGACAATGCTAAATTCCAGGTGAATGCAGAATTGAACAATTTTGAACTATATACCTTAATCGAATACTCTGTCAGTGGTAAGATAGGTACTAGGTCATTAGGTGTAATCGATAACGGGAACTCAAAAAAGTTCCTATAGAATTTGGACCTATAATGCCCATTTTTAACCCCAAACCAAATCTCGATCCTATGTCCTATAACGTAACCTTTTTTATATTTGTAGGTTAACGATAAATATTTCGACGAGTTCTAAACGGAATGACAAAATCAGTATATCTTAAAATATATTACACATATATGGTGATATTTGATAATAATATTGTGCGTTTCAAGTACCCCTGTTGATATCAGTAGAGAATTCTAGAAATGTTCGCCGAAAAATCGTTATCATCATAAAGCAGTTAAAATAGTATATAAAAGCGCAATGCATGAATGACTTGTTCAAAATTGGTGAAGTTAAATGTAAACTAGAAGTTATGAGCTTCCATGTTTACTTACATACTAATTACTCAAACAAATATTATTTATGTAAAATGATCTACATTGAACTACTATAGACCTAAATATTAGAACAAATTTGTATATACACTTAAGGCAATTTGTTCAAATATTTAAAACCATATAGTTTAATCAATTAATTGTGTAAATACGTACTTTTATTAATATAAATATAATGTACATGTATAGGCGATTATATAGGCTAAAATAATTATATTTTAACAGATTTATAAACATTATTTAGAATTTTTTAATAGTTTTAATTAACTAATTTAATTAACTTTAAACCCCACCTTTTTGTACTACGTAACCCTAATAAAGGGATTTTTTTGTGGTTAATATTTATTTTTGAACTTTATACTTTATACGAATGATTCATAATTTGGTACTTTGTGTTTATAGTTTATTCTACAGAAAACCGGAAATCGGGTTTTAACTACTTTAAGCGTACGCTTCTATAAAAAAATAATTTATCTTTCTGAACGGATGCAAACTTATAGTGACAAATAGTTAACAAATTAACCACCAACGTTTGAGCATTACCAAATTTTGTAGCAAATTGACAGCTGCTAAATTTATTTTTCCATTTTCGCACTTACCGGATAATGCTTATCACTGTAAAAAATTCAATGTTTATTGTGGAAAATGTTTACAGAAGATGTTTATTTATTTACATTATATTCTTGAAATTTGTTTGTAACTCGGAAATGTGTAAGATTTTGTAAAAAAAAAAAACAGGAATTTAATTTGCTATTATGTTTATTTATAAAAATTCTTGACTTATTATTAATCTTGAGTGAAGACTGTACGAATACCAAAGTGATTTACGTGAGCCGTGTTGGCCTATCTCACGGTGGTCTTTTTCATCCACTGAGCAGCCTTGAGAACGGTCTACCATCGCCCCTTCAATCTTCAATGAACAAATCAGGTGGCAATTTTTGTACATGGCTAAGCCGATCCATGTACAAGAACTTTGCTGAAGTACTCGAGCTATCTAATCACTTGCCATAGTAGCCCCGTTGGGGAAGGACAGTTGTTATGAGCAAGCTTAGTCTAACCCCGACAAAGGAAAAGGCAATCACTGGTTAGAGTCAATAGAAGGGGCGTACCCAACATCAGGTGAAAACACCCTATTGATGTTATGAAGAACCCAATACTGGTAGCACCTCTTTCCCCCCGGATTGCAATACACCAAGATGCGGTCTATTATCAAGGAAACATGTCCGGGGGCTTAGCGAACACTGTAGCTTGTCAAATCGTATAGGCCACCCATATAACAGTTATTTCAAAAGTTGAAGAATCAGTAAAAAAACTTTTATTTGACTGTCCTACTCTACAAGAGCTCTGACAGTGATATCTTATCAGACTCTAGGTTTCACTGACAAATCTAAATAAATTTGTTAAAAGTGCCAGATAGTTGTTTCGCATACCATATAAAGACCTCCGATTTCAAATGTCTAACGATTCGCCAAATAGACACCGTCTGTTCTTATGAATTTGCGGGTTTTCCATATAAAGTAACCTATTGATACTAAAATTTTCGAAAAGAGTCTTTATATGAAAGGTATATGTAAGTAGTTTCGATTCGATCGAATAATTTGTACAAAGCATTGGCCATTGCAGGCTATGACCTTTTTCCATCTTTCTGGCAACATATTTTGAAGCCATGAATAATTCAAGACAATTTCGGTTATCCTGTTCTAAAGTAAAGCGTATACCAAGGGGAATGTTTTGCGTCGATCAAAAGAAATAATAGTCGGACGAAGCAATATCTGGACTATGAGGCAAATCATCCCAACCTTTTCTTTTTAAATACAAATACCTGGTATTTCAACATTAGACCGTTACCATGAACGAAAAAGAAGGCCAATGATAGCATACAACGAATTTGGTACAGGTTCCCTGTGATGATCTGGTCGTATTTCAGATATAGGAACCTTTTGGTTCCAGCAAATACAAAGCACTACCTTAGGTCTTTGGTGTCCAGTTATCTGGTCTTCACAAACTATCTCTTATATTTCAGTTTAATGGATCCATTTTTCAACGCAACTTATTATTTGGGAATAAAAAATCGAAGAAACATTAGGCATTCATGTCTGGTAGCATATTCTGGGCGTTTTTCGGCTAATGATCGCATCCAGTGAATCAGTTGCATTCGCTATACGATCCCTTTGATGGTCTGGCCGGATTTCAGCAGCTCTTAATATATAAGAAACTTTTGTTACCAACAAATACAAAGCATTTGTCTTTGGTACCCAATTACTTGACCTTCACAAAAGATCTCTTTTGCTTCAGTTTAATAGATCCATTTTTAAAGCAAATTATGATTTCGAAAACGCAAATTTGTCTTTTAAGGTTTTCTGTATGTTAAGCAATATCCCTGCCTTTGGATAAATCCTTTTTTGATTCTAACATATTTAAGACATTAATGGGCATTAAAGTAGTACTTGGAAGTTCCTTAGTTTAGTAGGTAACCTTGTCAGTTCATCTACAAGGAGAGGGCCAAGAGAAATGAAATATTCTCTGTCGCCTAAATTACGATATGCTGATTTA